TGCTTATCACATGTCTGTCTTAAATTCAGTTACTCTGCTGAGAATGCAAAACGGCTGGGTGAGTGAGCAGTGAGGTAACATAGCCAAAGGAAGGCATTGAATTAAATTATTAAACACACACAAGCAGGAGTAGTAATGTAAGAATTTTGAAAGATTCACAAGGAAAGGAAGGAGAGCCAGGGGACTATTTCTGGTGTTATGATGCTAGAATACTCCCAGCAGCTATTATGACTATTTATTAACCCGCAACATCGTAAACTGTAACCCTATTAAATATGATGAATGAGTCCTGGGTCTCAATTTTTAAATATCAACTTGCAGATATTTTAGAAGGCCAAAAAGACACTGCAAGATACAGTCTTTGGGCCAATGGCATAATACTCCTATGATTAGATGTGACTAAATCAATTGGATGTGGGATGATAATGTTTAAAAGAAGTTTAAAATAAATATATTTAATTATTTAAATTCTGCTTCATATCTGAAATGTATTTACATTGTTATCATATTGCCTGGCGTCGGCATCACTGTTGGAGGCCCAGTGTCAAACAGAGTCCCTGTTAACATACTGCAAGCATGTTATGATATGGATGTTAAAAGTCTCCCAAAGGCTTGGTTGCCAGTCTGCGGTGCTATTGGAAGGTAGTGGAACCTCAAGAAAGTAGGGCCTAGTGGGAGGAAGCAAGGTCATTGCACTTGAAGGGGTTATTGGGACTCTAAACCCTTCTCTTCCTCTCTTTCACGTCCCCACCATGAGGTGAGCAGCTTTGTTCCACCATGCACTGCCTACCATGAAGTGCTGCCTCAACTCCAGACCCAGAAACTATGGAACTAACCAACCATGGACTGAAACTTCTGAAACTGTAAGCCAAAATGAACTTTTCCTTCTTTTAAGTAGCTTATGTTAGGTATTTGATCTGACGGACACAGAATCTTTACCCTAAGCAGGGTGCCACTACTTCATGATGGGACTTTTGCTGCTCCCTTTAACACCCACTTCCCCACAAGTTTAGAAGAAGGTAGCCTTTGGACAGATGAATTTTAAAAAGTCCCTCCCTCACACAGCAAGGCCCCTGGTAAGAATGGGGAAACAGCATCTGTTCTCCAGGCCATAGCCCTCCTCAGCTTGCAAGGTCAAGAGTGACCTTGACTGAGCACCCTTGAGAGGTCCTTGCTCTTTCAAGTGTTCTCAAGCTGTGATGGAAGGCTGATGGTCCCTTTAAAGGATGGAACTTATTTTTTCACCTGCCCGCTATAACTGTTGTACTTCAGCCCTTCTACCTCCAAGCATACAAAAAAAAAAAAAAAGTTTATAAAAGAAGAAGAAAAAAGTCATGTCCTTTCTATTTTCTCAGCAAACATACTTGTGTTTGCTCCCCTAGTGAGCAGCGGAGCTCTGCTGCAGGACTGTTGAAGGGCACCATCCTGAAAATTTGGGCAATGAGTCAGTCCAGCATGATAGGCCTGGCCCTTCTTCCCTTGACTCTTCTCCTTCCCCCACCATCCCTTCAGTCCCTCATAATCACCACTTAACACAATGCTCCATTTATCACTTGGCTTTTATCACAGGCAAATAAAAGGGAGAGCATCACTTTGTACTTCTCAATAGCATGCTAATTTGTTACGCTGTGTCTTCAGTTTAGGTCTAGCCTTGTGTTTGCAGAACAAACTGGTGAGAAACTCTGTATGAGAATCTTAGCTTTTATGATCCCTGCCCTCCTCTCTCCAAGGGTAAGATTTTGATTTAAGAATGAAAGAAAGCAAAAAAGGTAAGAGAAAGGCTTTATCTGGAGATCAAGTGATAAATGGAGGAAAAAAAGCTACTTGGAGCCATCCCAGTCTGGTGAGTATCTCTTTAAAACAAGCAGCTAAAAATGCTTTCAACCCAGTAATACCATAAATGTCCTGCTGCTGTCTTGGCTTTCTGATTCTTCCCCGTACTTTCCATGAGCATTCCACTGGGAATTGTCTGGAATCCCAGATTAAAACAGCAATAACCCAATTCCCCTGTTAGAATATTTATTTTCACTAAGGTTTGGAAACTCAGCTGGGATGCATCTTCAAGTGTGTGGCCCCAGTCTTAACCTTCTATTTGCCTCTCAAACAGCATGAGAAGCAGTCAAGTCCTGAACAGGACAAGGGAAGCTGGGCCTTGCTCGGAAAGCCCCAGCTGAGGGCAAACAGCAAGAGCCTGGGAACCTCCACTTTCAGAGGATTTGATCCAGATGTCGGGACCATGGTATCACAAAGGGACTCATGCGGATTACCAAGGAGAGATATGTAAAGTTAAACTGCCAGAGTACACATTTAGGCAAAGCCATTATCCTAACCTGAATCCACAATCTAACTACTGATTATGCACCAAAGTCAGCAGTAATGTGCTACAGCTGGATGATTGTCTATGTGAGGATCCAGGCACATGTCCATCCAAGGGTAATATGCAAACTATTCAGCAACAGACAGAACAAGTTAGAATGGATTCCAGCCATAAACCAATGTTGTGGCCACATCAGTCATAAATCTAGCCAAGTATCATCCCTGAATTCATCCACCCATCTTCAAAAATATTTATTAAACACATACTTATATGGTGGCATAATGGATAAAAGCCTAGGCTCTGGAATCAGGCATAATTGAGTTTGAATCTTTATCTCTTATGAGTTTTGCAATCAACCTTAAAAAATTACTTAAATTCTCTAAGTCCTTATGTGTGATATGGACATAAAAGAAGACCCACCTTACATTGCGAGAATGAAATAAAATAATTTATATATACAGAATTTCACAGCTCCAGGAACAGGATAATCCCACAGTTATTAGCTATTATGATTGTATCCTAGGCTTATACTGGGAGCAAGTAATTACTGGTAAGCGGCACAGAAGTGGTTCAATGAAAGAACTGACACTAGAAGAAATTAAAGTGTTGGTATTGAAGAAATGGTTCCAAGGGGAAGGAAAGCTTATATGAGAACTGCGTATTTTAAATATAGTAAGGATCTTAAATATTTGCTACTCCAAATGCGGTCCCACATGATTGGGAAACTGAATTAAACAACTGACTGCAGTCAAACAGCAGAACGAGCTATGAATTAAGACCTCTTGACTGCTGGTTTGGCTTGTCTATTTGCTTACCTGCTTCTTTGTTTTACCATGATAACTTTTTAGGGAGAGAGTTCCACAGCAAAAGAGCTTACATATGTCAAAGGCATTCAGAGGTGAACCATGAGTTAGGGCCTCCTTGGGGGATGTTGCAAAATACAAGAATACAAAGTTATGAAAGAAACCTCAGCTTGTTTGGGACAAGTGTTCATTATTTCTTTTCTCTCTGTACTAGAATTTAAGCTCTATAAGAACAGGGAGCTTTGTCTTCTGTCTTTGTTTCTGTACCCTGATCCTAGAAGCAGATAATCAGTAACTACAAATGGAATGAACAAATGAATGAGATTAGGTGGTACAAGTGTTTTGCCTACATGGCATGAGTATGTTCCACCCTGAAGTGAATATTCCTGATGTAAATATACTGGGCACAGGGCAATATCTGGAGAGAAATCTGCTGTTGTCTACCCACCATTTCTTTGCCAGTTCTGTCCGCTGCAATGGTGCCTTATGGTGCCCTAAAACTCCAGTCAGTGCCCGCAGTCATGACCATGGCCTTTACAGTTCCAACCTCCTTTTTAAAAGTTCATTGTAGAGGAAAAGATGGTAGAATGGGGCTGTGTCCTTTGCCTCTCTACCCAGGTGAAGCAGGAATGTCTACACCACAGTAGGCAGCAACTTTGTAATTACCAACAGACACAGCAAACTGAAGAGGGGAAGGCGTTTCATGTTGCCAGTTCCTTGCAAAAATCCCAGCAACCATCCTCACTGTAGGCAGAAGGGATAAACCAGCAATGTCTCCCAGGACCCCTAGCATCATTCATCTGATTCTCTGATTTATCAGAGAGAGAGAAAAGGAGAGCCTGGGTCCCCTGTTTCCTGTTTTATTTTTCTGTACTTTTAGTAAGCAACCTTCTGAGGAAGGATGGAAACAAAAGGAGAATAGCCTGAAAGAGATGGCCAGCATGACTGTACCACCATTTATGTCACTGGGATTCAACGAGGGAAGGGTCAAGTTGTCCCCAGGAACCTCCAGAACCTGGACTTGTGCTTTCAGGATATCATCCAAGCCAGAGAATGTGGCATTTTCTTGGATACCGCGATCAGGGTGGGAATCAGGTGATTCATTTTCTCTAGTTGCCCCAATCACATTTTATCACCTGGACTAAGTGGCAGTACAGGAAAGACAGATCAAAAACAGAACTGGCAGATGTCAATGCTTTGGACCTGATGTCTGCCAAGGTTGCAGCTGAAAATTCAGATGGAAGGTGGTGGAGGCAAGGAGTAGGGATGATTTGGGAGAGGATGGTGGAACTACTACAAACTAAAGCTGCTGAGGCAAAGCAAACCCAAGCAGAGAGTAGAAGAAAAGAGGGGACCAGGGAAAAGACATATATCAGCATATAAAATGTAACCCGCCATGAGAAAAGAAGGGAGGGGGAGTCTACAAAGAAGAGAGAGCACCAGCTTAAAAGCAAAGCAGGGAGTGAAGTGAATGAATCAGAAACTAAGCCTCATTCAGATCAAAGAAATCTTTAAAGGGGAGTAGGTGAATCTAGGAATACAGATAAACATGGCATAACAATAATAATCTGCCTCCTAGGACACTGAATTGACTCTGCCATATAGTGCACAATTCCTTTTTTTTTTTTTTTTTCACATATCATCAGACATGAAATAAATACACTGAGAAATAAGCGTCAAGAATCTCAAACTTTTCACGCCATTATGGGGTGGGGTCAAAAGATTCCAAAGCAACCAAAGCGAACAAGGCAAAGTCCTGTGAAAACGACCTCAGAGTTTGCCCCTCCATGGCTCAGAGCCCTCTGCCTCCCCCGCCCCGTGCAGTCCAGCAGCCTGTCTGTCAGTCTGTCCTTCCCCTTCCCTTGGCAGCGGACACTCACGCAGGTGCGCTGGCAGGCGGATCGAGTCTTCCTCCATCCTAAGCGCTCGAGGCACTGGAACATGAAGTGGAGTCGAGGAAGCGTAACTCGGCACCGGGCTCTCTGGAGGTGTATATGAAATTCGTTCCTGCTGTTAAAAATAAGGGCAGGAAGAGGCGAGGGGGTTAAAAAGGCAGTGAAAGCTTGGAATGGAGGTGTGAAACTACCCAGGGGTGTGGGAAGCCAAAGGGAGGTGGGGCATTCGGAACACCTGGTTCATAAGTTGTCCTTTAGATGCTTCACATTTGAGGTTTATAAAAAATGCAGGAAAGGTTGAATATTGATTGGGCTCTTTGGACTGAGGTCAACAGATGTGCACCCCTGTGGTTTGTTCAGGTAATGACGAGGGACACAGGTGAGCCAATGGGGAGAAAAAAGTCCAAGAGAATAGCAAAAAACCAACTCTCTCAAAAATTATTTTTCCAAGTCACATATCAATGTCACCAATGCATTAACACCACATTTCCTCTTCTCTGGCAATAACCCCAGCTTCTAATCAAAATATGATTCTATACTCAGATCCAGTAAGAGTATATTAAATAGGCGAAGTGGAAAGTAATGGCTAAAAAGACCTAGGTTTTGTTAATAAATCTATGAGCAAAGTTTTTCTATCATCTTTCTCTCACAAAACAATAACCATAACCAAAAATATCCAACATTTAATTTCTTCCTTCCTAAGAGAGAATGATCTGCAGAATTAGTAGGTGTCTCTCTGTTCCTTCATATCCCATCAGAATCTGTATTTCCTTTCCCTCTAAAATATTTCAGACATCTTCAAAGAATTGTTTGGACTAAGGAAAGCATTATTTAAATGAAGATGCTTAATGACAGTAGGAGGGGCTTCAGTAAAATCACCATTTGAATTCAAATGAGCAGTGTTTGCTAGATCAATTAAAAGAAACTGGATGGGGTGTGAAGGATTATTATTAGTTTGAAGTTAAAATATTGCAAATAATGGCAAGAAACCAACTAGTATATTCAGTGAGAACAGTAGTGCAATTTGCATCTCAGATCTACACACCAACTAGTTTGACTTGCAGTCACATACATAAACATAACTTCCGTTAGCTTCTGCGGTTTAACTGGGCAAAGTAGGACATACAAAGTCCAAAAATAAGTTGGGATGAAAAGACCAGTAAGATGCCATTATGAAAATTTTAAAAACCAGGAGCAAAAGAAAATCCTAGATTAAAGTAAAGTGAAGATGGTGTTTACTTTTTGAAAGGATAGTTCTTTCAACATTTTACATCTCTTCAAATGTGCAAAGGGAAGCAGGGGAGTCCCCTGACCCTACAACCAAATTAAAACTTCTGCTCATGGCCTGGAAAGTTTGGTGGTTGTGGCAGGAAATTTCAATTTTAAATGAATATATACATATTGTTGCAATTTCCAGATGGAATTGCTACACCTTCCCTAAGGCATCCACTAGCAGAAACTAGGGTGGGTGGAATATTTCTGTTTAAACATGCATCTTAAAGTTTCCTGGTGAATTTGTTAATTCAGGGCAGGTCCAAATATCCTAGATTTGATTTCTATGTCAATCAAGATGTCTTATGAAAGGTCACCCAGAGGCAAAACTGTCAACTTCACTTTTCTCGAACTTTACCAAATATCACACATAGTTTGAGCAACTCTAACTTAAGGAGGAGTTACACTTTTTGGTGTTTGTGTTAGGATAGTTTAAGAGGCAAAGATATATAATCACATGTATGGGAAACATTAAATTTGTTTAGGGATTTTGCTAGGTGAGATGTGCTTTTAAGCATTTCAAACATAATCTGTTTTTCTAGATTAATTTTTTTTTCGAAATTCTCCATTCTCCTCCACCCTCACATGATCCCCCAGTCTCATCATACATGTAGATGTTTGCCGTTAGCTTTATTCCCAGAACTAGCTTTCTGTTTTGTTATGGTTTTTGCAGAAGCGAAACAGTTGGTGAAGAAAATACTGTGCAACCAAAGGGTCTCCAAAGGGCATGGCATGAGTGCAAGAAATAGAGAGGATGGTATTTCATAATACAATTATTTTTCCCTTAAAGCAAGGAAAAACAAGGTCCTCTAGCTTGTCTATGAAAACCAGGCCAGCTCATCCCTGCCTCCTCAACTCCATCAAGGACAAGCTGGAGAAGCCCAGCCCTCAAAATTACTTCTACTTTATTTCTTGGGAAATCTGCCTCCCGCCTACTGATAGGAATCCAGGGAGGCTTCACCTCTGCAGAGTGTTAGGTGCTGGCTTGCGTCATTGTATTTGTGCCTTCATTTCCCTGAAGTTTCTTAGGAAGAGTTTTTACTTCTACATGGTTCCCTCACCTCACAGCTACACTGACATAGCACACTTGAGCACCTGCCTGGATGTTATGTCATCCTCTCCCATACCCATCCAAGAAATTGTAAGAGACAACTGAACTATTTTATAATGAAACCTACAGAAGGCAGGCCAGACCTGAACTCCACTCATTCCTGAGGATAGCTTCCACTATGGTGAAAGTCAGGATTGCAACCTGCAAGCTGAGAGCAGGAAGCTCTTTTTAAAAGGTTCAAGGAAGAGATCTGTCAGTCACTGAAGAGAGTTTATCTTGACCAAGTGGAGGAAAGCAAAATGTGCTTCTAGAACCTCAAGCAATCTGTCAGCAGCCAACACAACCTACTGGAACCCTGGGTTCAGCAGACAAAAGAGCCCGAGGGGGCCCCAGGAAGGATGTTGCCCAGTGCACAGGCTTTTTTCTGAGAAGAGAACACACAGCTGGGAATCCCATACTGTAGAGTTAACTCCTTTTGTCTCTCTTTGTGACTCTCTAGTGGTCCTCATTTTTTACTTGATTACTATAACCATGTACTTATCTTCTATAATGGCACATCAGCACACTACCAGCAATTAGAAAAATCATACAAATACCACCTGCTCAGATGGAGACAGCTAGACAGAGGAACTCAGGGAGACTAACAGCCAATGTTCCAAAGAAAGGGAACTCTATTCTCACAACTGCTTCTGGTCTGATCCCAACAAAAGAGGGGGCTAGGTAGAGTTGACAGCACACTCATCTCTAAAGCAAACTATCAGTCAGATGAAAACCAGAGGTGCTTTATTTTAACATGGGATGGGGGAGAAGGGAGTAAGGATTTTCCCAGGAGAATTATAAACACAGCTCTAATTAAATTAAAATGCTGCAGACAGTGATATTAATGCATTTGAGTGTTGTAGGGGCATAAACTGCAGGTGTAGGTCAATGATGTGACTAAAGATGCAGTCATGTGGTTATGTTATTGTTTAGATGCTGAAAAACATAAGTAAAACAGGCTGCTCTCAAATTTGTAAACCCAATCTAAACCAACTGGCTGAACAGAAGCAAACGCACTGCAATTTCTGAGGGTAATTACAATACCTATAGGGACAGTGGCAAGGAGAGGTAGAGAACAGCTCAAAACTCAGAAAAGAAAAAATAAAGGTGAAAATAATTTTAAGCAAAGGGTACAGAATGGTACCAAATTCAAATGGTACCAAATTCAAAATGACTTACATTTCTCTCCTCCTTTCCTTCTCCAAACCATGAAGGCCAATGATAGGTACCCATCTAATTATGCTTCTTTTCATATTAAATACCTAGCAACCTGTGAACCTGTAACTCCCATGTAAACCACCATGTTTACCACCGCTTCTTTTCTGGGGGGTACCTGGGATTGAACTCAGGGGCACTCTCCCACTGAACCACATCCCCAGCCCTATTTTGYATTTTATTTAGAGACAGGTTCTCACTGAGTTGCTTAGCACCTCACTTTTACTCAGGCTGGCTTTGAACTCATGATCCTCCTGCCTCAGCCTCCAGAGCTGCTGGGATGACAGGCATGTGCCACCACACCTGGCAAGGCTTACCACTTTTGTGCTCAGCAGGGGAATGGCATCCCCACCACAGACTGCACATTATGGAAGGGCCAAACAGAAAAAAATATTATCACCAAAATAGTCCTTCCTTTTCAAAATTATTCAGTATAGAACTTCTGCATGTCTTTGGGATCCCCCTAGGGCATTTATGGACTTGTTCCTGTACAATTGACCCTTTAGGTTGAAGGATTGGGAAACTTGGGAGTTTATTGTTAATTAAATACTGATTCTCTGGAAATAAAGCATTTTGGCAATTGAGACAAACAGAAATAAAGTTGATGTACTTTCACTAAGATGTTTTGCAGGTCATTGCAAAGATTCCTAAACTGAAGAGCCGAGATGTCCAGATTTAGGAAACTTTTCTAGAAATTGCCCCATCCCCATTATATAAAATGCCCAGATTATTCCCCCATGCTGGTTCTTGAAGTCTGTGTAGGCAGTCCTGAGGAGGAGGAGTGTCACAGAGCTATGATAAAATGCCAGAGGAGCCCTGGCCATGCTGCTGCACTTTGGTGTCCCATCACTGCAATGACAAGCTGCAACCCAGACAAGATGGGAAACAGCAGGCAGCAAAGAGAGTGCTTGCACTGGCCCTCTCTACCCGGGAGGGGAGGCTGACTTTCCCACCAGCAGGTTTTCTAAGGAAAGCTGCTTGCAAAGCTGAGGCTTGTACTCTCATCAGCCTGTATAGACTGAACAGAAGAAATCTCTCCTATGGGAGGCTATTTATTGAGATTTACTAAATTAATGTCTGGACACACAATTTCTCAAGTACACTCTTCTGGCTGGAGAATGATCCAAGGTGGTGGTGCTGGCTTTCATTAAACAGGTTTTCGTTAAGTGAGCCTTTATTAACAAGCTAGATCTACTCATTACCAAAACACTGAATAAACAGAAATTTGCCTGCACCGTTTTCTAGGTTTTTGGCATCATGGATGCAAACAGACATGAGAACCTAAACGAATGTGCTCCTGAGAGTCCAGGTCTTTCACTGGAAAAAGAAATTCATTGAATATTTTGTCTACCCCAAAAATTCAGTGAGAGAAAGAACTTGAGAAAAGATGCAAATATGGCCACAGATGATCAATTTTTGGTTTCTCCCCAGAAAGGAACAGTATACCCTAAGATCTGGGGTGAGGAAAAATACTCCAGGTATTCAAACAAAAGTTCTGAAGTAGAAGACCAGATTCAGAAGTAAAGTTRTGATGATTT